GTATCCAATGTACACAGCCCTATTATGAAACTAATTTATAATTCTCAAATGAAAGCTACAACCTAATTCTTGCCCAAGAATATGGGGAGGAGGTGGGGGAGGGGAGGGAAGAAGGGCAGATGGGTGGAGGGAGGGTGATTGGAAAGATCACCTATATGGTCTAACAAGGGTACAAGTGAATTTTTCTAGAACTAGAGTATAAATGTTTTAATATAATAACTAAGTAAATGACACAAAGTCTATGTTAACCAGTTTGATGAAAATACTTCAAATTGTATATGAAAACACTACACTGTACCCCGTTTTCATTAATGTACACAGCTATCATTTAATAAAAAAAAAAAGAAAAGAAATTGGGGATAGGGATAATATGTATAATTTATATAAGTTACAAAATGTCTTACAGACCATCCAATCGAAAAGTTTAAGTCTAATGAATTTTGAACATAAGCAGGAGGCAAACGGCAAAAAGAGAAAAAGAAAAATCAAAAAACTTAGACTGTCTTTATATTACCAAAAATTATAATAGCTATCTCAACACAACTTTAAGAAATCAAAGTCTACTCCATAGTAAGCCAAGGAAAAAACTGTACCTCAAGTATCTCTTACTATTCCTGTCCCAAGTTCTTGATAGCCAAAGCTATTCAGTGTCTCTGAAGTTTGTTCACCAGGATTACTAGAAGCAGAAAGTCTTAGCCTCTCTCCTCAGGCTTTTTAATCCTAGATATCATAGCTGGGCTTCAATACCCATATTTCTATGCAAGGATTTTCCATCAGGATAACAATTCATTTTCCAAATCTATTTAGATTAACATTTCATAGCAAGAAGAAATGAAAGTCTTAAGATATAAACAGTAGGCTGAGCATGGTGGCTCAGGCCTATAATCCTAGCATTCTGGGAGGCTGAGGCAGGTGGACTGCCTGAGCTCACAGATTCAAGACCAGCCTGAGCAAGAGTAAGATCCCATCTCTAAAAATAGCAGGGCCCTATGGCGGTGCCTGGAGTCCCAGCTACTCCAGAGGCAGAGGCAAGAGAATCACATGAGCCCAAGAGTTTGAGGTTGCTGTGAGCTATGACACCACAGCATTTTACTGAGGGCCACAAAGTGAAACTGTGGCTCAAAAGGAAAAAAAAAAAAACAGTAGAGTCTAGTCTACACTGATACCTTCACAGCAGAATCCAGCTTACAATCACTGGGAGACATTTCTTCTGGAAATATGCAGTGGTTCATGTCAAACATACATACTTCCAACTGTCATTATCAAAATACAATTTAAACATTCCCTCAACCACTTGCATAACAAACATACACCTTTATTGTAATGCACACTCTCCAGTTTTTAGTGAAACCAAGACAAATAACATTGCTAAGATTTTAAAGAGAAAATTAAGTTCCTTAATATTAACACATTTGACAAAAATGTGTTCCAGTGCAGTAGGGTGCTGGCCCCATATGCCAGAGGTGGCAGGTGCAAACCCAGCCCTGGCCAAAAAAACTACACACACACACAAAAAAAGTGTTCCAGTGCAAATTAGTACTGCACAATCCTACTAAAGAGAATGATTCCATACCCAAATAATTTTGGTAAGTGTAGCAAGCTATATTCCACCTCCCACTGCCTTGGGCAATCACAATGCCCATGAAAACATTATAGGTTCTGACAAATAAAAGTAAACTGTTTCAGTTCGGTGCCCATTAGCTCAGTGAGTAGGGCGCCAGCCACATACACCAAGGCTGGTGGGTTCAAGCCCAGCCTGGGCCAGCTAAACAACGACAACTGCAACAAAAAAATAGCCGGGCACTGTGGTGGGCGCCTGTAGTCCCAGCTACTTGGGAGGCTAAGTCAAGAGAATCCCTTAAGCCCCAGAGTCTGAGGTTGCTGTGAACTGTGATGCCACAGCACTCTACAGAGGGTGACAGAGTGAGACTGTCTCAAAAAAAAAAATAAACTGTTTCACTTTGACTCAGCATTTGTTGTTTATCTCATTCCCTGTCCTCTCATTATGGAAAGGTAGTTGGTAAATGGTAAAATATCTGTTAACATCTCACAGAAAAATACTTCCCAGACACATTTTGGGAAATCCTGCATTATTCTTACCTTTAAAAATATATTCAGAATTTGAGGAGTTTTAACTAGTATATTTACTGTTTTATACATCCAATAAAACAGTCTTATTTCTCAGAAAATATAAATGTAAAATATCAAATCCTTAAACTACAAGAATATTTTGATTAAACTGAAGAGCACCTACCTATATTTTGCTTTTTCATGAACCCAGACATACTCAGGGTCTTTCAAACTCAAGCGTGCAAGGTCCTTTACAGATTTGGTTTGAGTTGCTGAGAATAGTAAAGTCTGACGTTTCCGGGGGAGATTTTCAATGATAGCATTCATGGTATCAGCAAAGCCCATATCCAAGATTCTATCTGCTTCATCAAGAACTGAAAAGGAAAATGCAAGGTGAACTACCAGACATTAGCCTAAACGCAATGTGGCATCCTGGACTGGATTCCAAAAAATGAAAAGAGATATTAGTGGAAAAACTAATAAAACCTGAATAAAGCCTGGAATTTACACAATGTACCAACGTTAATGCTAGCTTTGACAAAGGAACCATACTTATGTAAGATACTTATATCTGCGAGACTGGGTGAAGAATATACAGCAATTCTATTACTGCAACTTTTCTGTAAGTCACAAAAAAAGTCCATTTAAAAATACACATTAGGTAACACCACCAAGCTAAAAAAGAAAAAGTTCATTGAAAAGATGCCAATTTGACCTTTCAAAGTTATCAGAAGTGGGTAATCTTTAGATTACTTCTTGGCAACGGGCTGAGCACTATGGCTCACACCTCCCATCCCAGCACTTGTGGCGGCTGAGGCAGGAGGACTGCTTCTATCCAGGAGTTCTAGACAAGCCTGAGCAAGAGCAAGACCCTGCCTCTAGAAAAAACGAGAAAAATTAGCCAGGCATAGTGGTGCATACCCATAGTCCCAGCAACTTGGGAGGCTGAGACAGAATCATGACATGAGCCCAGAAGTTTGAGGTTCCAGTGAGCTATGATGATGCCATTGCACTCTAGCCCAGGAGATAGAGCAAGACCTTAACTCAAAAAAAAAAAAAAAAAAAGGAGACGGAGAAGAGTCTTATCAATGTCAAATGCTAAAGTGCCTAATTTCACATATAAAGGGACATATGCACTGTTGTTTTTTGTTTTTGTTTTTTGGGGGGGGGAACAGTCTCACTATTTCACCCTCAGTAGAGTGCCGTAGTGTCACAGCTCACAGCAACCTCAAACTCTTGGGCTTAAGTGATTCTCTTGCCTCAACCTCCCAAGTAGCTGGGACTACAGGTGCCCACCACAACACCTGGCTATTTTTTGTTGCAGCTGTCATTGTTGTTTAGCAGGCCCTAGGCCGGGTTCAAACCCACCAGCCTCGGTGTATGTGGCTGGTGCCATAACCACTGTGCTAAGTAAGGGTACCAAGTCTGCACATTCTTTTGATTTAAAAAAAGAAAAAAAAAAAAAAAAGACTAGTTGTATTCTCTGGGTTTACAGCTCAAATGCCAAAAAATTTCAAGTTATTTCTCAATTTTTAATCATAACATTTCCCCAACATAAAATTTATATCATTAAAATATATGAGGGTTCTCTCCTGAATCTGAACTTTTTTTTTTTTTTTTGCAGTTTTTGGCTGGGGCTGGGTTTGAACCCACCACCTCTGGTATATGGGGCCGGCACCCTACTCCTTTGAGCCACAGGTGCCACCCAAATCTGAACTGTTTTTCATTGAAAATTCATTAGACTCACCTAACATTTGGAGATTAGTAGCATGAAAAGATACTGTTTCATCCATGTGTTGAAGAAGCCGACCTGGTGTGCACACAAGTATATTTATGTTGTTGATCCTCTCAGCTTCCTGTTTCAGATCCTGAAAACAGTTGTTTCCTTTGATTACAGACACATCACTCTAAGCAGCTTGTGTACCAAAACTAAAAAGCCATTTGCATGTGGCATATCAACATAACTTTCTATATCTGCAGCATATACAAATTTCTGGGCTAAATTAAGTCTCAAAGTGAAGACAAAGAGCGCAAAGTTCTTCTAGATTCTTAATCATATTCAGGATTTTGAGACCAAGAAAAAATACTCAAGTGACTGCTCCAAGTCCTGATGTCCTTTTGGGTCTATCAGAACTTAAAACTGGAGCTACTGCCATTCTAAGTCAGGGTTCAGGGGCAGTGAACAGATTCTGACACCACTCACTGTACTCTGCGGACTGAAAAAGAGCTGAGCTCTCTACATTTAGAGCTTCTCTCCTTGAGATAAGAGCAGAATGTTGGTGAGCTGGGGACGGGCACATGAGTTTTTTTATTTTATTTTATTTTTTGCAGTTTTTGGCTGGGGCTGGGTTTAAACCTGCCACCTCCGGCATATGGGGCCGGTACCTTACTCCTTTGAGCCGCAGGCGCCACCCATGCTATACTTTCTTCTTTAGTGTTTGCTCAGAAATTGAAAAAGTATTTATCTTCACAGACTAGAAGAGGCTCTAGAAAATATGGGCATTACAGGCATACTATAAGGTAGAGCAAAAGTTGAATAGCAGGTCTCATGATTAAAAACTTCCTCAAAACAATCTACCTTCCTCTCTGCTGCTCATATAGCAATGTTCTGGATTATTCAACATCTCAGAATTCAGGCGTTCTAAAACTACAGCTGCGGGCCACATGCAGCCTGCCTAGGACATTTTTGCCGTGTTTTTGCTGCCACTGCCTGTCCTGCTTAGCAGCTAACTCATCCCGGGGCCCACAGTCTGGCCCTCTAATGGTCTGAGGGACAGTGAACTGGCCCCCTGTTTAAAAAGTTTGAGGACCCCTGACTTGATACCTTATTAGAAGGTCCTAGTCCTAATTGAAATGTGATATTTCCCAATGGATACTGATGAACAGATTTACAGGATAATTAGAGAGCCTAATCAACTCAGATACCCTGACAAAAATGGACTTTTAGTTCCAGCTAAATTGACAATCAGAATCCAGATGACAGTGACCACACCACGGTGCTACCCCCGCCATGAGGCCCTGAGAGGCCAGACTGTTGGAATGCAGTCTCCACCACCTCCTTTCCAACCACATGTACTCCAACACAGGTTATAGAGGAAGGAAGGGTACAGACAAAGGAACACACCTTTCCACCAATGATGAGACCAGCTGAAAAGTCATGATTTTTTCCTACTTTTCGGAGAACCTCAAAGGTCTGATAGGCTAGTTCTCTTGTAGGGGATATTATCAGAACTCCTAGCCCATCTGTTGAGGTCCACTGCAGACGATATAAGGCTTCCAGCACCTCAAAAAGAACAGCAAATTCATATTAAATCTTCACAGAAATCTGCTTATTGACTCTGCTTATTGACCTGAGTCTATGGTCTGTCGCTCCAAATCTAAGGAACTTCCCAAGCAGAAGGCATACCCTTCAAGTTTTACCCAATCCAAAAGAAAATATTGTTTCTTTTTCTTCTATCCATCAGAATCATCTACCCCCAACTGAAAGGGAAGGGAAAAGAAGCCCCAGAATATTAATAATTCAGCTGCTGCCAGAGCCACATCATCAGAATGGCTATCAATGAAAGGTATGGGCAGGCTACAGCCCATTAAAACTGACTTTGAAAAATATCATTTTCTGAACACCACCACATTAAAATAAACTTTCACCTGTATAGCTGCCTATTCATATAAGTGACTTGAATTCTCTAATTTTAGAGAGACATTGCTTAAAAAGGAAAAAAGCACTAGGATTTAAGAGAAAAAGTGGTTTTTCAATATTTGGAACAAAAACTAAAGTGATACTTTGCAGGAATAAAAAATGAAAAGACCAACCATATTACTAAGATGTAAGTGAATCCCTAAGCAGCTCCACTACTTTACTGCTACGTGTATAAAAGACAGCTATCGATGTCCCAGAAAACTCAACAAATGCTCAAAGCTCCTTAAACTGAGCATATTTCAATTTTATACTAAACAGATACAAGTATAAAATGCCACTGGTAGGCTCACAAGGGTGAGCACAGAAACATGTTCCCACCAGCCCAACCACAGAGCAGAACCATTCTGACCTGCCACCCTGGAGTATCCCACATCCATCAAGAACGTAATGACTGGCTCGGCGCCTATAGCTCAACCAGCTAAGGCGCCAGCCACGTACACCTAAGGTGGCGGGTTCGAATCCCCAGCCCGGACCCGCCAAACAACAATGATGGCTGCAACCAAAAAATAGCCGGGCATTGTGGCGGGCGCCTGTGGTCCCAGCTACTTGGGAGGTGGAGGCAAGAGACTCGCTTGAGCCCAGGAGTTGGAGGTTGCTGTGAGCTGTAATGCCACGGCACTCTACCCAGGGGGATAGCTTGAGGCTCTGTCTCAAAAAAAAAAAAGAACGTAATGACTTGCCAAGGCACAATAATTTATTCATTCAATAATTTACTGAGTGCCCACCTCAGGAAGTTCAATAATTTACTGATAACCTGGGAAAATGTGGTAGAGAACTCTTGTCTGATAAAGTCTGCATTCCATCCAGGGAAATCTAACTTGAAAACAACTCTTTATGATATTTATTTGCATCTAAGCACAGGATGTTATAAAATTACATAACAGAGAATCTGAACCAACATGAATAATACACTTACTGGAACAAGGAAAGCCAGAGTCTTGCCAGATCCAGTCTTGGCGGCTCCAAGCACATCTTTACCTTGCAAAGCCAACCCAATGGTCTGCCTCTGTATCTCAGTTACCAAACGGTACTGGGCTTCTTGCAAACCTGGAAAGTGGAGGAGGGGGAAATGATACTTTCAGAAAATCCCTGCAAGACAGTGTCATAGCCTGAATTGTGTCTCCCCACCCACCCACCCCAAAATTACTGTATCAAAGTCCTAAACCCCCAGTACCTCAGAGTGACTACATTTGGAGACAGAGCCTTTTAAAGAGGTGCTTAAGTCAAAACAACTCCCTTAGGGTGGACTGGTGTCTTATAAGCAGCAACGTGAACAAGGAGACACCAAGAGTCCACATGCACAAAGAACAGCCATGGGAAGAGGCAGCAAGTTACTCCACCAGGTTTGGTCCAGCAACCCCACTCCAGGGCACATATCCAAGGTATGAAATCTGCATACTGAACACTTTATGTTCACTGCAGCATTTCACAATAGGCGAGGTTGACATCGACCTACGTGGCCAATGAGGAATGAAGAAAACTTGGTGCATAAACACACAGGGGGTGATTATTCACCGTTAAGGAAACCCTCTCATGTGCAGTAACATGAAAGAACCTGGAGGACATGGCGTTAACTGAAATCAGCCAGGAATAGCAATACAATTAACCACATGATGTCACTTAAAAGAGGAATTCACAAAAACAGGGATAGAATGGTGGTTACCAGAGGCTAGGCAGAGAGGGGAATTGGCAAGATGTGGATTAAAGGATACAAACTGTCAGTTAGGAGGAATAAGTTCGGGAGATCTATTTTATATTATGATGACTACAGTTAATTACAATACGCTGTATATTTGAAAATTGCTAAGAGTTCACTTTAAGCGTTCTTAACACAAAAAAGTATGGAGTAATACACCACATACATGTTACGTTACATGCAAATTAGCCTGATTTAGCCATTCCACAATGCATACATATTTCAAAGCATGTCAGACCATAAACAAACACAATTTTTATTAATTTAAGAAAAATAACAAGAGCAGCAAGAGGGTCCTGAAACAGCCTGGCCCTGCAGGAAAACCTCCTCTGCCTGCACCTTGACCTGGGACTTCAGTTTCTGTTGTTAAGCCACTCAGTCTGGTATTTTGTTATAAGCAGCCCCAGCAAAGAAACACAAGCAAAAATATACTCTGTTCCCTTTGCTTATGTTAACACAGATTTCATTTTAATTATTCAGAGGCTCCTGGAATCTTTTTCCTTTCAACTAATGTTTAACCAGTCCAGAAAGAATGACAATGAAAAAATTATTTGATGCAAATATTGCCTATTTTCATTAGTTTTCGTGATATCAAAATTTGCCAAAATAAGATTTTTCAGGTTAAACTCTCAATCTTCTTCCATTTATCAAAAATGCCAAGAAATCCAATAACATGTCCCAATTTCACCACATACCTACCTTTCAATGTTTTTCTGGACAAAGGGAAATCTGAAAATCTTGTAATTTCATTCACATTTATCTGGAAAAGAAAAAAGGGAACAGTGTCAGATATGACTAAATAACCTACAGGACAATTCACTTATTTCACAAGGAAACCATTTTTTCTCTAGCTCATCCTTCACACAGCAGGATTGAATTCAATCATCACTTCTAATTAAAAGCCATCATTCTTTCTGAAAGGAAATAAATACGCCTTGAAAAAGCTGTCCTGAATCAAATATAAATTTGTAACCACTTCAAGTGACAAGAAAAAGACTCACTCAACATACACACAAGACACACATTACCACCTAGAACATTCTTCACTTCTAAAATGTTAACACAGTCACAGCCAACCACATCAATTTTAGGAAGAAAATTTACTTTCAATCATTTTTCAAGGGGTATCAGTTTAAGAAGGGACAAAATAACTACAAACCACAGACCAAGATGAAAATAGTTTTATATACCCAACTTGGATTGGAGAAAAGATTGAAACGAGTTGGAGAAATACATCATGTTAGCACCAATCTTTCAAAGTTTTACCTGTAAGTCTGTGGCCTATGAAATACAACCTGATAACTATTCATTTCAGAGTTACTCACAGAAGGGTGTTATTTCAAAAATAATCAGGGGAAATGTCTATCATGCTTTGAAGCCACAGTAAGTAACGTTTTGCTCTTTAACTTTACATTATTCAAATGTTCATTACTGATGTTCTTTATTAGCATAAACCCAATTTTCTGAATTTCATTTCAGCTGCTCAGAATTATTTTATTACAGATGCTGAATGCAAAAACTCTGCTCAGATCTGGGAACATGCTGCCAAATTACTCATGATTCACAAAAGGGAAAAGCTGCATTTGTAAGGTTCACTGATTTAAATTACACTGCAGGCAGTAAAGGGATGACAGTTGTATTTCATTTTACAATCTACACATCATCTTTCTCAGGATTCTTAAAGTAGCCCAGGCAGGGTTACTCTCTGCCCTCAGATACTGAAAGCTCAAGTATTAAAACATTATCTTAATCCCCACAAATCATTCCAGATACCATAGGAGAGGAAGCAGAAGCAATGTACTAGCATCAGAAGAAGGGTTTGTGCAAATAACATCCTGTCCCAGCAAGGAACCTCAATTAGAAGATGATCTTCCAAACAGGACACTGACTTTAGGTGTGGTTCACCCTTGCACTTGTGGTGTTATCAGCTAAAAAGCTGTTTTCAAAGGAAATGGAGTGCCCACAGGAGACCAGCCACTCTTCAATCCCAGACAGAGACACAGTACAAGTGAGGCAGTCACCCCAAACAAAATAGTGCACGTCTTCCGAAACTCTGTTCATCTTAAAGAAGTTTAGAAGAATGAAACCGTTCCGGTTATACACCATACTCTTAAGGAGTCACTAAAGAAAGAAAAGGAAATTTTGATTCTGCTCCTGCTCTTGAACAGGGGTCAGCAAACTACAGCCTACAGGCCAAATCCAATTTCCTGCCTGCTTTTGCCAAATTTTACTACAGCACAGCTACACCACTCAGTTACGTGGCCTGTAAAGCCTAACTCCGACGACTGATCCCTTTGCATAAAGACTGCTGACCTCGCTCCAGAATGTTCTCAGTTACCAAGGAATACTTAGAGGCCACAGCAAGAAATGCTATGGTTCCTACAAACAAAATTAATGCCCTTTCCAATTCCCGTTATCCTTTTTTAGAAAAAAAAAAAAAAAAAAAAAACTACCCCTCTTTCCACAATCTCCATACTCCCTCTAAAATCTGTACATTCTTCTGAACTCAGAACAGGCATTTCAGAGATTAGTCCTCAAAGACTTCCTAATGCTGGTAGAAAAGTTGGAAGAGGCAGAAGAGAGAATAGAGGAAATAACGCTTAACCGCTTATTCTTCTTAGAACCTGATAATACCTATTTTTTAGTAAAGTGAATATGCCTGGAGAAAAAAAGTATAAAACTTTGTGGAATGCAATCAAGAGAAGAAAAGCAACCTGCCTTACATCACTCCAGACCAGAATGCAGAGTTTCTATGTAATACAACTGGTTACAACAGACTAATGACTCCCAGGTGCAGTCACTCAGCAATGGGGAAAACAGACGGTGAGGCGCTCAGCAATAGGGAAAACAGTTGCTGAACTAAAACAAACAGCTCAATGTTTCTCACTAAGCCTCAACCCCCAGTTCTCCATCAGCCCCTCCAACGTGTGCACACACACTCCCCCAACACGACGGCTCTCAAAACCACACAGACCTCCTGCTGCAAAAAGCATAACTGATGGACTGAGCCAGCCGTCTGTCACCCCACAGACCCACGTGGAAAGCCACCTTCCCCTGGCTACTCCCAGCCCAGGGCTGGGCTTGGCAACTACCAAAGCCCGGGCTTCCCTCCTACACACAACTTTCAAACACGGAGTTCCAGCCTGGCCAAAGTTTTCTTAGACGGCTGCAGTCAAAGACTCTTCCTACCAATTCCTCCTTCCATCCTCCTTTCCCTTCCTATTCTTATTCACTTTCCTTCAGCCTTCATAGACATTTCCCCCCCATAAAGCTCCAGTTTACTCAATCCCATCTTGGCATCTGCTTCTCAGAAGACCTAGCCAGGGGTCCTCAAACTTTTTAAACAGCAGTCCAGTTCACTCTCCCTCAGACTGTTGCAGGGCTGGACTGCGGGCCCCAGGACAAGTCGGCTGCTAAGCAGGACAGGCAGCAGCGGCGAAACACCTGGCAGGCTGCATGTGGCCCACGGGCCATAGTTTGAGGACGCCTGACCTAGACTATATCAACAGTTTCTTAGCCTCCAAAACCTTTGCAGTTTGGATATATTCTCTATTTGGGCCCAGAGACTTCTCACTGCTTACAGATAAAGTCCCTGAGTACAGCCTTTGTGGGATAAAAATGTCCTACTGTAACAAATTACCACCAACAGTACCTTAAACCAAAACGAATGTATTAACCTTATAGTTCTGGAGTCCAGAAGTCCAAAATGGGTTTCACTTAGCTAAGATCCAAGTGTCAGCAGAGCTGCATTCTTTCTGGTGACTCTAGGGGTCAGTCCATTTCCTTGCCTTTTCCAAGTTTCCAGTGACTGTTCACATTCCTTGGCTATGGCCTTCTTCCATTTAATTTAAAGTTTTTGTTTTGTTTTTTTGAGACAACATCTCACTCTGTTGCCCAAGCCAGTAGTACACAGCACTCAGAACTCACAGCTGCCTCTAACTCCTTGCCCCCACGTCCATCTATAAAGCCAGCAACAGACTCCATGTCTTTCTCATATCACTCCCACTGACTCCTGCCTCCCTCTTCCACATTTAAGGACCCCTGTGACTACACTGGACCCACCTGGACAATCCAGGATAATTACCCTACTACAGGGACTGCTGATTAGCAATCTTAATTACCACTTGCCACTGACCATATTCACAGCTTCCAGGCATTAGGATGCAGCCATAGTTATGAGGCCATTATTCTCCCTGACACAGCCTCCAAAGTCATTTGCCATCTACTGCCAACCCTCTTTTCCGACCCCAGCTGATGCTGACTCAAGAACCTCCAAGGAGTATTTTCTCCCTTGAAGAACACCAAGCATTTTCACCTCTCGTTGTTCTTTCCATCTAGAACGCCCTTGACAATCCTTTCCACTTAGTGAATTCATCGTTCAAAAACTAGCTCCTCAGCTTGGCGCCTGTGGCTCAAGCGGCTCAGGTGCCAGCCACATACACCTGAGCTGGCGAGTTCAAATCCAGCCCAGCCCAGCCCGCCAAACAATAATGACGGCTGCAACCCAAAAGTGTGACGGGCGCCTGCAGTCCCAGCTACTTGAGAGGCAGAGGCAGGAGACTCGCTTAAGCCCAGGACTTGGAAGTTGCTGTGAGCTGAGATGCCATAGCACTCTGCCCAGGGCAATAGCTTGAGGCTCTGTCTCAAAAAAAAAAAAAAAACAACTAGCTCCTCCACTCCAGGCCACCACAAAGTACTGGACAGTTTGTTTACTAAACAAAGACATCTTCTAAGGCTGAAGTGGAGGGGCTGAAGTCCATCCAGCCCACATTCAGCTCCCCAAGCCAAGCCCCAGGCTGCAATCACCAGGAAAAAAGGGTAGTGTACCCAGAAGAAGATCTTTTCTAGTCCTCTGGCCAGAAAGAGCGCAGTACAGGATAACTGAGCTTTTTCCCCCTAATTACACCACGTTCTGACTCTACAGCATGAATTACCTGTCACATATTTACTATTTACTACAACATTTTGTACGTATTATAACAATGGCCAAAAATGCATCAACCCCACCCACCCCCATCTCAGTTCCCTAGGACCTGGAAATGTATTTTTTTCCAGATATATTTACAAAGGCCTAAACAAGCACAAGCTATGAAATTATTTCAAAATGTTTCTGAATCAAATTGCTCTTTCACCAGTGAGTCTACTGAGCATCACTTGTATAATAAAAGTTTCATGCACAAATGTACAACCCTCAGAGCCATATGGGGAGGGCCTGCACCTTGGCTACCTGGAGAATAATAAATTCAAGTAATTATATCCTTGTACTATTAGTCCTGGCCATTGATTTGACACTGCATTTATTTCTTGACTAAATCTTAAGGAAATATTTATAAAATCTAAAAGAAAAAATGCATAAAGCATAGGGGGAAGCTGCTCCTTCAACATAATAAAAAGATTAGGATTTAAATATTCATTTAACTAGCTGGGAATGGTAGCTCATGACTGTAATCCTAGCACCTTGGGAGGCCAAGGCAGGAAGATCACTTGAAACAAAGAGTTGGAAACCAGCCTGGGTAACATAGCAAGACCCTCATCTTTACACCAAAAAGTGTAAAGCTTAGGAGGGCACGGTGTTGTGTACTAGTACATAGTCCTAGCCATTCCAGAGGCTAAGGCAGAACTAAATGCATTGTTTGAGCCCAGGAGTTCAAGGTTATGGTAAGCTAGAGCTGGGCCACTGCATTTCAACCTGGGTGACAGAGCAAGGTGCTGTCTCTTAAGGAAAACCATTTTTGTTTAACAAATGCAGTGAAGTGTGGTGGCTTGAACTTCTAGCGTCAGACTGTGGGCTAGAACTCCTTTTTCACTTACTAGTCGTTAACTGTGCTCAAATTAATACCTTGTTGCGCCCTTAAGTTTCCTCATCTATATAACGGGAACAGTTTCACAGGGTTGTTTCTTGCGAGGATATGTCAAGTCAACAGGTATAAAAGTCTGATGAGTGTTAGTGATCATTGCTAGCACAGACAGCAAAAAGAAAACTTCTAGCCCAACGGTTCTCAACCTGTGGGTCACGACCCACAGGAACTGTATTAAAGGGGTGCGGCATTATAAAGGTTGAGAACCACTGGTCTAGCCTAACAGCAAACAACATCAGTCAGGGGTATCCAACCTTTTTCCTTTTCTGCCACATATTACAAGAGTGAGAGTTGTCTTGGGCCACATATTAAATACACAAACACCAATGAAAGCTGATGAGTAAAGGTCCGCACATACTTTTCGCAATTTCCGACACCAGAGATAAGCAAAGCAGTCCTCAAATAATCTGCATGTGGCCCACAGGCCGCAGGTTGGACAGCTCTAACACTAACTGAGCACCTAGTCAACACAACTACTATACTGCCAACGCTGGGGACAGCAAAATAAGTATGTCATTAGTACTGACCTTAAGAGGTTCAAAGTCTAGTAGAAAAATTCATAAAGAAATTAAATAGGCTCGGCGTCCGTAGAACAGTGGTTATGGCACCCGCCACATACATGGAGGGTGGCAGGTTCGAACCCAGCCCGGGCCAGCTAAACAACTGCAACAAAAAAACACCCAGGCTTTGTGGCAGGCACCTGTAGCCCTAGCTACTTGGGAGGCTGAGGCAAGAGAATCACGTAAGCCCAAGAGTTTGAGGTTGCCTTGAGCTGTGACACTGCAGCACTCTACAAGGGTGACACAGTAACAAAAAAAAAAGAAAGAAATTAAAGAAGCTAATCATCACAGCTAGGTGATAAATTCTGTAATAAAGAAATCAACAAAACGCTGTGAGTGCACAGCGGCTCTGACTCTGCCTGGAGAAGCTGTGAATTGAAGTCTGAGCTGAATCTTGAAGAACTAGCCAAGTCCTTACAGTGGGAGGATAAGTACTCCCCCCTCAAGCAGTGGAAACACCAAGTACCAGGAAGAGAAGCACAGCATGGCCTCTTGCAGACACACTGTACTTGACAATTTTCCTTCCTAAAAGTAACCGTGAGTCAAGGAAGGACTCAGGAGTACATGATTGGATTTTCATCTTGCAAAGAATCATTTCAGCAGAAGTACAGAGGATAAATTAGAAGGGTGTAAGGCCTAAGGGCTGAAGTCCATCAGCCACCGGCTTCATTAAAGTTTTACTGGAACACAATACCCATTCATGTAAGTATTGGGAGGGTGGCTTTTGTACTACAAGGGCAAAGTGGAGTAGTTCTATTCCACCCTTAAGACTACAAAACTGAAAATATTCACTGATCATTTTCAGAAAGTTCACTGACCGCTCTAGTAAGCAGTAACTACTATAGTGCTCCAGGTAAGAGATAAGGCCTGAACTCAGGTAAAGTCGTGGATAGATAAGCACTTGAGAAATTCAGAAGCAGGAAAGATCAACAGTGTGGCCAACTAGATATGAGAGTAGGGTTCTAGCTCAACAGTCTGCTTACAAAGGCCCAGCGCAGTGGCTCATGCCTATAATCCTCTCACACTCTGCAAAGCCATGGTGGGTAGATTGCCTGAGCTCAGGAGTTAGAGACCAATCTGAGCAAGAGCGAGACTCCATCTCTAAAAAAAAAAATAGCTAAGTGTTGTGGCGGGTAGTCCCAGCTACTTGGGAAGCTGAGGCAAAAGGATCACCCAAGCCCAAGAGTTTGAGGTTGCTGTGACTTATGACCCCACAGCACTCTACCGACAGTGACAAATGAAACTCTGCCTCAAAAAAAAAAAAAAAAAAAAAAAGTCTGCTTACCTGATGGAACTAGGATGTTGTAGACTAAAAAATGGTCCCCAAACATGTCCATGCCCTAACTCTGGAACCTGTGAATTTTACCTTATATGACAAAAGCGACTTTACAGATGTGATTAAAAATCTTAAGATTGGCTCGGCGCCTGTGGCTCAAGTGGCTAAGGTGCCAGCCACATACACCTAAGGTGGCGGGTTCGAATCCCCAGCCCGG